GGGAATGTAAATTAGTTCAACCATTGTGGAAAGCAGTATGGAGGTTCCTCAAGATGCTCAAAATAGAAATACCATTTGACCCAGGAATTCCACTTCTAGGAATTTACCCTAAGAATGCAGCAGCCCAGTTTGAAAAAGACAGATGCACCCCTATGTTTATCGCAGCACTATTTACAATAGCCAAGAAATGGAAGCAACCCAAGTGTCCATCAGTAGATGATGACTGCAGTGGGGTGTGTGGGGGTACTTGGTGCGGGGTGGGCCTGGTAAATATTTTGTTCTTCATGTAATTGTAGTTTAATGATAGTAAAAATAAAAAATAAATATAAAATAAAAAAATTTAAGAGAAACGCCAAACAAGAAACATTTAGATCAAGCAATTTTTGGTTAGGATTAAAGAATTATAAATATTGAGTGCTTAGTTATACCAGGCACCATATTAAGTATTGTACAAACAGAACCTCATTTCAGCCTCACAAGGAATCAGTGAGTTTGGTATTACTGTCTTTATTTTACAGGAAAGGAAACTAAGCCCTAAAAAGGATAAATAACATGTCAATTAATTAAAATAACCTAATCAATATGAGGTCAAATTGGAATTTGTATCCAGCTGCACTTATAACCAGACATTATACTTCTTCACTCCACACAAAAAAAAATAATACAATTTGTCGTGGCTGGAAAAATGAAACGTACCATCTGGATAGTTTTTAGTTTCAAAAGTAGCTATATTAAAAAGGTACTTTATGTGAAATTCCAATGTCTTTAGGATATATTAAAAATTAAGTGGAATACTTGAGTAAATTTGTTTTGAATCATTTTGAGAATTATTCCTGAGTTTACAAGTTGTTTAAATATGTGTGTGCTCTCACAAAATCATTAGTCCCCCTAAGAAGAAAATTGCTTAGTTGTTACCAATACCCACCATATGAATCTTTTAGCTGGGTTATTTAGTATAGAAGACTAAGAAAAATTAAGAGTATAGAAGGAGAAGAAATCAAGAGTCAAAAAAGGCCATTTCAAAATTTGCAGTCCGAACTTTGTGAATGCTAATAAGTTTATTTTATATTATAGTTTACCGTTGGAAAATATTACTGGTTTTTTTTTAAACTCAGGTTTGAAAAACAAACTATTTCATATGTGTAATTACATTTACAGTGCCTAGAATTTTCTTTAATGGCTTGATACCATTTGGCATGAAAATTTCCTCATATAGGCATTAGATGAGCTCATTGGGACTAAGAATGAATTATTATTTATGTCCAAATAGTTACATAATTCTAATTATTTTGTTATACTATAAATTAAAGTGTTCAAAATTACAAAACTCAGTGAAAGTGCTCCCTCAGTGGGAATAAGAGAAAACAGATTTAGGAAGAGACTGGCTAGGATTTAGACAGAAAATTTAAAGGGTCATTAATATATATTCCAAATGAAATGGATTTCTCTCTTCATGTGTCAAACACTAATATGTGATGATAGGTAAATATAATAGGTCTAGTAAAAGATTCTTTGAAATCTGGTTGTTTTAGATCAGAGTAGGAATGGTTTTATCCTTCAGAATCTTCCCACCCCTGCACCAGGCTCACAGATTTGGGAATGACAGCTGACTGATGGGTTGTTTGTTTGTATTTCTGTGCAGGTTGTGGGCAAGTTGATGAGAATCTTATGGAAAAGACAGTAGAGGTCCTGGAACGCCATTGCCATGAAAATATGAACCATGCTATTGAGACAGAGGAAGGACTAGGCATAGAGTATGATGAAGATGTGATCTGTGATGTGTGCCGATCTCCAGACAGTGAAGAAGGGAACGATATGGTGTTCTGTGATAAGTGTAACGTCTGCGTGCATCAGGTTAGTGAGGGTGGAGACTGCCACCTCCCCACAGTCAGCCTTCCTAAAACTCAGTGATTTCCAGCACCCATATCTGGGTAGCAGCTTGCATTTAAGGGTGAAGACAAAGATTTGTCCTGGCTGCTCTTCAGTAATTCCTTCAGAAACATTTCTTAAGATCCCAAGGTGACTGACTTACTAACTTTGCCCCAGGGGGTTAAACCTAGGTCTTTATTGCATTGCTTCATGCCCAAGTCATTGAGATTCATTTGTTCAATACTTTTACAGTCCCCTGGGGAGTCTCCTTGCTGCCTGCCTGGAAGTCTCTCTTCTGCCTTGAATCCCTGTTATATCAGGTTACACCCATGGTCAGTAACCTTGGTGAGTTTACACTTCCTGCAGCTGGAAGTCTGAACTCCTTATCCTGGCACCCAGAGCCCTACCAGTCTCCCAAATATTTAACCAGGAAGCTGATCATTCATAAAGATCACAGAATTTTAGTACCGTACAAGACTGTCCCTTCTCAGTTTTACAGATAATGTCAGGAGAAGTGAAGTGACATTACCCAAGCTCTTACAGCTAGTTGTCATTCTTTCTACCACACTGCCTTTTTAATAATGATGATGATGATGACATCAACATTCTTTTCAGATCTTTCCTCTTCTTCCCCGACAAGCACTATGCTCCTGTGAAATAAGGTTATTCAAGGGGGCAGTGATGAAAATTCCTTGACACTGTCCTGTCTCCAAGTTTCAACCACACCTCAATTTAAAATGCCTTCTCCCACTTCAGCTATCAAAAATCTATGTATCTTTCAAAATCTAGTTCAAATCCTTTCTTGAACTCCCCTTCCCTAAGTGATTTTTCACTCTTCTAACTAGTTGTATGTTTCATTCATTTCATTAATTTATCTAGCAAATAGATACACAACACCATCCATGTGCCAGGACTGTGCCACATGCTAAAGACTCAGTCAGTGATGAAGTGGCAGACATGGTCTTTGCCCTTAGGGAGATCAGAGTCTGGTGTAGGGACTACAGGAAATTACCTATGTAGCTTAGGATACCAAGTGTTTTTATAGATAGAAGTCCATCCTGCTATGGAAGTGCATGGGAGGGATGGAGGACACAGACAACTTCCAGGAAGTGGCATCCAAGCTGAAATTTAATGGCCAACAGGAGATGCCAGATAAAATAGTAGCATGTGTTTAGGCAGGTCAGACAAGGTAGTGAGAGTGGGCAAAACATGTTGGAGGCAGCTCTGAGCAGTTCAGAACTACAGAGAGTGGCAGGGTGGAGTCGGGAAGGCATGAAGAGTGAGGGTACAGAGGGATACAAGTACATATGTGAAGACCCTTCTCTGACAAACTAAGGAACTTCAGTTTTGTCCTGTCAACCCTAAAGGATATGATTTGTATTTTAGAAAGATAATTCTGGCTACAAATGACTAAAATGGTTAGATGACATAGGAGATAGACAAGGCTTAAGATATCCTGGGCCACTTCACCTAACCCTCTGTATTAGAAAGTGCTCAAAATTATTCTGTGACCAGTTGGGTCTTTTTCTTCATTTTGTCTGTGTCTTTTAAAAGAATGAATTCAGAAAATTTATCTTCATTCTACCAATTATTGGCATTTATGTCACATCTTTAGTGAAAGAGAAACTTTTTACCATTTAAATATGTATTTAAGTATCTAACAGTACAGGACCACAGTCCCTTCTCTGCAATTCCAAAATTTTAATGCTCTGTAAACTGCAAGTTTTTTATTAAATTTGCCAACAAAACTAATTTGGGGGCAATACTAGAACTCAGCTGTTCTGAGGCTGTTGATAGTCTTTATCCCATTTTGTGTAAATCCACATATTTGTTAGAGAAATATTAAGGTATTTGATTATATGGTACTGCCTCTGGTCCCATTGGGGGTTGGGGGTGGTAAGGTAATACACCATGTATGTACTGTGTTGTTTTCCTAAAATCTGAAGAATTCTGAATTTCCTCATGTTTCTCACCCTAGGGTTTTCAGATAAATGATTGAGGATCTGTAGTAGGCTTGAGGGGAATAGTACAAAGGTGATCTGTATGTTTTCTGTATTTGTCCTTCACAGTCAGGACAAAATATTGAAGAATCATTTTCAGGTTCTTTGACTAACAAAATGAAATGTATCATAATAACTGTTCCTCCAAGGTGATTTGTTTGTTTTGAAAATATATCCAGTAATGACTATAAATGATGCCCTTTCCTCACATAGAAAGAGATGACAGTAATGCCTGACCAGGCCTTGCAGAATATAAGCTGGTAAGTATTAAAGCTGGATGTTGGTGCCAAATAAAGTTTCATATAAAAGAGATGCTTCCCAAAAGAGTATATTTACTTGAATCTAAAGAGATACTTAGGTTAGAGCTCCCTCTGTTGACTGAATTAAAGTGACATTATCTGAAAAGTGACAGAGGGTACTCTGTGACTGCGTACCAGAGCAGACATTTACCCTGGTGAGAAAATGCTAACCATTCTCCCCTCTCTCCCTCGTGCCTACAGGCCTGCTATGGTATCCTCAAGGTCCCAGAAGGCAGCTGGCTGTGTCGTTCCTGTGTCGTGGGCATTCATCCACAATGTCTGTTATGTCCAAAGAGAGGTGGAGCCATGAAGACCACCAGAACAGGGACTAAATGGGCTCACGTCAGCTGTGCCCTGTGGATTCCAGAGGTGAGAATTTATCTAGGCCTCTGAGGCCGTTTGCTCTAGGATGCCCCCATTTCATACAACTTTCAGACCAGCTCAGGCTTCTTGCTATGTTTCATGCCTGCCCATGTTTCAGAGGTGATAATGCTTCCACTTCAGCCCCCTCAATCCTTCTTGGATGCAAGTGAGCATGTAAGCCCATGCTGATTAATTTATAGATGGTACTACCAGTGGCACTGAATAAATCTGTATGAAAGGGGAGGTACAAAAGTCCCCAGTGTATGAGCAGACATTTTAAGGTAAAAGATACCTGTAACCACAACCCAGACCAAGACATGGAATACCCCAGAAATAGAGAGCAACCCAGAAGGATCCCTCATACCCATTTTCCAGTCCTTGTCTGGGTCCCTGTTACCCAAGAGTAGCTACCATTTTGATTTCTGTCACTACAGATTAGCTTTGTCTGTTTTTGAGCTTCGTATAAATGAATCATACAGTGTGCACTCTTTTCTATCTGGCTAACAGTCTGCATTGTAGTATGTTGTAAGTCCAGGGGGGGATATATTTTCCAGCCCAGGGCAAAATACCTTTGAACCAAATCAGTCAAAGAGAGAAATAAACTGGGAGATACCCATTTATTGCTTACAAGCAGTTCTCCACTTCTGCTAGCCCGTGTGTCTCACGACCCAGCTACAGAAAAGGGGGCCCCACCCAACCTCTCAGGTCCGGATATCCCCTCACTGCCCCATGTAATTACCTATTGATATGGAGATGTACTAACCAGGGGAGACCAGGGGAGAGATTCTGGAAATACTGCAATTTTACCCACAACCCACCCCTCCAGAAATCTCACATCACAATCTACTCATTCCCCATCTTCTGTAGTGGCCCCTATACAAAAAAACTGGAACATTATAACCAGACTAATAACATGCAGTAGCAACAGCAATAAAATCATGATAATCCTTGAGCCAGAGGATTCAGCTAGGTTCAAAGACCTGTGCAGATTAAGTCCATAGCTCTCTCATTCCACAGGCAGTCAGCAGCTAAACAGGTAGGGAGTTCAGAGCAATCATCAAGCAGCCGCAGCAGCCAGGGGGCAAGTCCAGGCCATAGGGACTATAGAAGAAAATAACCTAAAGGGCAATAAGATACATGTTTTAATGATATCAGCAGAGGCAAATCTTGTCCATCAGGTAGGATGCATGCAAGAGAGTGGTCCTATGATAGGACAGTGACAGGAATGGGATCTCGTCCTGGTCTAGCATACCAGACTTTCACCCCACTCCCTGTGGGAGTTACGGATGGGTTAGTATATAGGGCTGCAGGAGGTACATGCACTGGCCATAAAGATAAAACTTCCCCATAAGATGCTCTAACCTCCCGGATATTTTGGGTACACTACCATGATCTTTGGGCGCTACTCTGCTGTTACTCCAGGAGCACATGGGAGGCCAGCTTCCAGGACTTTTTCCCAAGGTGCCAGAAGGGCCAGCCATCACTGGTCCATGTATCAAAATGTCCAGAGCCACATTCACTCAACAGTCTCTAGGGTTTAATGCAGTTGGGGCTGGCAGCTGGATGTTGCTCTGCTGGCCATATCCTAGCTTCAGTAACTCCTCTTTGGTTTGCACATAGGAGAGGCAGCAGTATGTGTTAGCATATCGACAGGGCTCAAGGCTCCTTTTCGAGGTTTCTCATTCAAACACCATACCACTGTCCATAAGCAAACTGACCATCCTTGTAGACTGTTGGTGTCCAACTTCAGGCCAGATTTCAACAAACAATTGTACCTCTCTATCATGCCTGCCCCAGTAGAATTATATGGCACATGAAACTTCCACTTTATTCCTAATTACTGCACCCATTCTTGTAACGCATGTCCAGTAAAGTGGGTGCCTTAATCACTCTCAATCACCTGTGGTCAGCCATAGGCTGCAAAGAGATGCTCTAGGCCCCTTTTGGTGGTTTGCTGATCTGCACGATGTGCAGGAAAAGGAACCAACAGTCCAGTAGCTATGTCCACACAAGTCATAGCATACCGATATCCTTCTGATACGGGCAGAGGCCCAATACAGTCTATCTGCCACCTGACAAGGGGTATTGGCCCCATTGCTATTGTCCCATGTTGCTGCGGGACATGGTGTAAGACCCTCTTAGAGCACACGAGGCACTCCTTTTGGTCTCGGCTGACTTCTTCAAAGGTCAATGGCAAGCCCCACTGATGGGCTACAGCCCACATTGTTTTTTGACTCACATGCAACAAATGCTGGTGCAGCCATTGGGCCCATCAGAGGCAGGCTTTCCTTCTAGCCAATGCACATGGGCCAGTGTGTCTGCTTCATCATTCCCTGGGGATGCCAAAGGCAAATGGCCAGTCAAATGATATATGGTAACTGTCTTAGCCTGACCAGAGGCCCCTAGGTCTTGCCACATCTCTTGCCCCCAGAGGAGCCAGAGACCAACCATCCAGTTGGCATGGTACCCTATCAGTAGCCACAGGGTCAAGCCCCAGTAGATGGCCCAGCTGTCGGTGCAGACAACTATAGGGGAGGGCTCCTGGGTAATCACAAGCCATACTGCCTGCAACTCAACCCATTGACTGCTCTTCCCCTCTCTGTCCTCCGTCCATATTGTCTCAGTCTTACAATGGAAAGCCATAGCCCTCCACTGCGGGGGCTGCCCATGACTGAGCCATCTGTGTACCAAGCATCTTCAGGTATAGGGGCTTTTCCCTCCTGATAAGGACTCTCGGCTACCAATCGTTCTAAAGCAAGTTCTTCCTGCTTTCCACTGGTATACGTCACTGGCCTATATAAGCGTTGGAGTTCTCTACTTAAGGGGCTACTAGAGAGGGCACTACACTGCTGTAAATATGCACCCCATTTGGCTAGTGTAGGCATCTGTGCCACACCACCCCGTGGCCTTTGGGTCCAGTCTTGCAATACCCCGCAATGGGGATAGATGGTTATTACCTTGGTTGGAGCTGTTCTGGTGATGGGATCCATAGGGCTCCATAGCCAGCAAGGTGTGGTACACAGCAACCAGTTGCTTGTCTGTCAAGGTGTACCAGACTTCTGCTCCTTTCCATAGTTGTGACCAGAATCCAATAGGTTGGCATGTCCATTCAAACCTCTGCCAAAGGCCCCATCCATAACCATCTTCAGTTACATGAACATCTAGCTCACAGGGCCTTGATGAGTCCATTACAATCAAGGCCTGTACAGCCTTGACTGTTTGCTTAGCATCAGTAAAAGCAGCTTCATATGTTTCATCCCAGTTCCACCTGATGCCCTTTAGTACCAGCTGGTATAAGGGCTGCAGAATTTGTGTCAAATGCAGAATAAACACTCTCCAGAAGGCCAAAAGACCCAAAAATTCTTGTAATACTGCCACAGTGGTAGGGGTAGGGAATGCCTGGACCTTGTCTGTGACTGCTCCAGGAATAACTTTAGTTTGACCCAGCCAGACAAACCCCAAGAATTTTACAGACAAACCAGGTCCCTTAACATCAGTGCTGTTCACAGCCCACCCTTTCTCCTGTAGATGTTGTAGGAGTCTAGGAACTGCCTCCTCCTAAATCTGCAAGAGAATCAGACATGAGCCTAATACCATCAATGTAGTGATACAGCCACAGTGTTTGCAGTTTCTTCCATGTGACCAAGTCCTGGACTACAAGTCCATGACAAATGGTGGACTGTGGAGGTATCCCTGTGGAAGGACAGTGAATGTCCACTGCAGGCTTTCTCATGTGAAGGCAAACTGTTCCTAACTTTCCTATGCTATGTCAGTAGAGAAGAAAGCATTAGCAAGGTCCACAACATAATGATACATCCCTAGTTCATGACTAAGTGTGTCCATAAGGGCTGCTATAGAGGGGACAGCAGCATGCAAATGGGCTGTGACTTTATTTAATTCTCAGTAGTCCATGGTCATATGCCAGGAGCCATCTGGCTTTTTCACTGGCCACACTGGGGAATTAAAAGGACTATGAGTGGGCTTTATGATGCCCACCTTCTTCAACTCTTCTAGGATTTCTCCAATTTCCTTGTGCCCCCAGACAATTTATACTGCTTAGTATTTGTCACTCACCGAAGTACAGGAAGAGCTACAGGCGGGTGCTTAGCATGTCCCCTCAGAACTGCCTTTACCACACATGCCCTCAGTCTGAACTCACCTGCAGTGGTCTGTAACCACAGGCCCTGAAGGATATCGACCCCCAAAATATATTCAGGGATGGGAGAAATGTACACAGTATACTCCTTTGGGGGTAAACACCCTATCCCCAGTAGGATTTGGGCTTTCTTCACTATAAGAGCCTTACCCCCATAGCCATCTATCACAGCAGGGGGCCTGGGAAAATGCTCAGGGTTGCCATGAATCAAAGAACACTCAGCTCCTGTGTGCACCAGTGCCAGGACACGTTGTACATTCACAGGGGACCAATGAATTGCTATTTCTACATGTGGCCTTCGGTCCCCAACATGTCCCCCAAGGTGGGGACCTTTACCCACCCCCTCAGTCAAACCATGATGCTCAGTCATCCTCCTGTGGGGGTGAGGGCCCAAGTGGAGCCTGAATACTGCCCCCCAGGAAGTTTTGCAGAGACACAGGCCAGACATGGGGCTTTGCCTCTGGCTTCCTTGTCCTGGATTTCAATGGCTAGAACTGCTGCTCTGGCTTTAATTGGTGCCACAGTTGCAACAAGATCCTATTGGGCTGCCCATTAAATTTTTCTTTCATTACCCCCACCTTTATCAAATCAACCCACATCTGGGTCCTTGAGACCTTCACGGGGACCTTTGAACCTCTCCTTTCAGTCATACCCTGCACTTCCTCCCATGCTCTTATTGTTTCAACCTCCCCCATATCTGCTAAAGTACAAGTAACCTCACAAGTTTCCCTATGTGGGAGCCAAGAACAGTCAATAGGGACCCAAAGAGAGATGGGGGAGCTGTATGGAGCACCAGATTTCTCATTCCTACGATGAACAACAACTAATCAGGGCCCTGGGGGTCCATATTATAGATGATATTTTTCATGCCCAGCTCCTGTAACACCTGCTGGAGTTCTGCATATGTTTTCCAGCTAGTAGATAAGTATGATAAATCACTCTGATTAGGCCAAACTGCCCTGATGGCTGCTGTCAGCCAATCCAGAAGTGCCTGATTCCCTGAGCTGTGACAGGCACTTTGCAACTACTGCCAAAGGGAAGGGTAAGTTGTTTGGGAAGCCAGTCTACCCATTTCAGAAACTGACATAACAATGTTTTCCACCCCCATATCCCAGAGACGCAAAAGCCATGTATGTATAGGCAGAGGTTCTGATGGCTTCTGCCGAAACTGGATGCTCATGTCCACCAGCTTATCCTGGGTATAGAGGCAGAACATGGAGTACTCCACAACCTAGGAAGGGGGTGGCCCCTCCCTCTGAGGAGCCCACAGTTACTGCGTTTTTATTTTCTTAATTACAACCAGGCAGGCCTTTAATACAGGAGAGGCTAGTGCCTCAAGCAGTGGCCTTGGCAACAGATAGGCCCTCAGCCTCACCCCCTCATCCTCTCCCAACTTCTCCTCTACCATCTCTGGGACTGAGAGCACTGCTCTTTCCTCCTTCTCCCCTACAGTCTCCTACAACACAGATTCTCCTCCTACCTCCTCCTTCACTGCTAACGTATCTTCCAGGAGCATGACCTGTCTTCCCAATAACTATCTCTATTTCTTGAGGGCATCCCATAGGTCATCACCCAGCTGCCCCAAGCAACACCAAGAAAAAGACATCCCACAATCCTGGCTGCTACATGGCCACTCGGCCACGGAGGGCTAATTTCACAGCTTCTTGTGTCTCCACCCTTCCCTACTTCTAGAGAAGGCCCCACCCCTCTAGGAGGTGTTGTGCCCTAGACCAATTCCCCACTAGGAGCTCCCCAATTGGAAGCCCCACAGATAGGGGGCTCCCAGGTGAAGCTGCACCCTCTACTGTTACAGCCACTGGGGCCTCCCTACCATCCGCAGGGGTTTCTGGGCATCTCCCTACCATCTCTAGGGTCAGCCCACCCAAGGGTCACACCCTTAAAGACAGATTTCGGGTTCAGAGATCCTGCTGGCTACCACCAGATGTAACTCCATGGGGGAAATATTTTCCCAGCCCAGGGCAAAACACCCTTGAACTGAAATCAGTCAAAGAGGAAAATAAAGTGGGAGAAACCCGTTTATTGTTTACAAGCAGTCATCCAATTCCGCTCGCCCCTGTCTCTCAAGACCCAGCTGCAGAAAAAGGGGCACCACCCAACCTCTCAGGTCCAGATATGCCCTTGCTCCCTGTGTGTTACCTATTGATATGGAGATGACTACTTCTCTCCACACCTTGGAAACACCTATTGATATGAAAATACACTAAGTCCAGGTGAGAGATTCTGGAAATATTGCAGTTTAACCCACAGTGTATCGACATTCATTCCTTTTTTTTTGCTGAGTAATAGTCCATTGTATGGATATTACCATAATTTATTATCCATTCTCTTTTGGTGAACATCTGAGTTGTTTCCAGTTTTAAGTTATTACAAATAAAGTAAGCAACAGCTCTTTTCCCCACTATGATGGTTGCCCTTTGATTTTTGAAGCTCCTTTCAGAGCTGGGACTCAACATTTATCTTAGAACATATGTATTCAGAATTCCATCCCTCAGTATTTAATCTGGTCCTTGAATTGCTGATATTTCCTGAGGGGCTATGTGCATGCTAAATTGATTAAAAAGGGCTTCCAGACATTACTTCTGCTTACTTCTTATGGCTGCCTTTTTTTTCCCGCCTTTTTGGACATCCCACTAACATCCTCTTTCCCTAACCCCTATCGAAGCAAGCATATTTCTTAGGCCGTTTAACTGCAGGACAAGAGATACTGCAGAATTCAGTCCATGGGGGCGCTGATAATAACTGTATTAGTAATTCATTCTCCTTTAAAACTTCCCTGGCGTTATTCTTGTTAATGTCAGTTCTAGGGGAATTACTATGTAACAACTGAGCTCACTCAGTACCTAGATACATACTGTGGTATTCTATGGATATGGAAGTCAGTGTGTTTTAAAATATTTGAGAAGTGGTTTCTTTTTCTTACTAAGAACATCCAGCTTATAAACATGTGAAATGAATACTCAGGTTTCTGGCCTGAGAGTGACTCGTTTCCAGCAGCAGATTTCCCAGCTAATAGAGCAGGCTCTCTCAGCACGTAGAAGTCTGGAATGTGACTCAGGAAGAGTTCTTAAATATAAAAGAAGCTTTTTCACCTATTGACATTCTCTTATGGTTTCTAGTACCTGATTTCCTGTGCCTTTGGGGCTATTCAAGATATCTTCAATCTTTCTACTGTTGGTTTCTTGATGTGGGCAGAATTTACACTAGTTTAACTATCCTTCTCCAACAATCCTTCACTTTTTAAAGTTGTCTGTCTCTTAGAAACTAAAGCACATATTTCTCTAGAAAAGAAAAAAACAAAGATAAAAATTTCTCAGCAGAAGTTGTTTGACCCCTTATTTTCATATAGACAAAATTTTTCCATCTTTTTTTAAAGTATCCTTTCCTATAAGCACTCTTCCAAAGACAAATGTCACTTCAGAGCTACTCTGGCTGAGAGTAGAATAAGCTGATGATAGTTACGTTATTTTAAAGATGTTATCATCCTCATCCTTTCTACTTATATGCCAATCTCTTTATTACACAAAGTGCTGCTGCTTTCCAATAATATCATGCTTTTTTGTAAACTGAACTAAAAGACTTGTTACTGCCTCTTTTTCATTGTGAGTTGATTAAATGAAAAAACATAGCGTGTGGCATCATCTGTAACATATGACAGATTACAGTAGATTTTGTGTATTTTAATTCCTTTCCTTAGCTTTCCTCAGTAACTTCGTTGTATCATAAGTAAAGTATAGATGTCTTTGATTCATTAAGATAACCATACCTAGTCTCTCCTCCTCCCGTCTCATCCTATATATGAATTGTTTATATTATTGGACATGGTTGAAAGTCTGAGCAGAGGCTGAAGACAGATTTTATTTATTCTTGGTTCCATATTAACCTTAAGAGACTATGGCTTGCCTCCTTGTTTTGATGTCCTAGAGCTTCAGGTACTATCATTTATGGTTTGTGAAGAGTACTCTTGGACTGCATTGGTGCCTCTGCCTTATGGTGGTTTTCCATTTATAGGTCAGCATTGCTTGTCCTGAGAGGATGGAACCAATCACAAAGATTTCTCATATCCCACCCAGTCGGTGGGCTTTAGTCTGCAACCTGTGCAAGCTGAAGACAGGGGCTTGTATTCAGGTAAGTCCCCATGAGAAGTGGTTCAGGTAAGTCCCCATGAGAAGTGGTGGAGTGGGCTAACACCAAATTGACTGGACTCATCCTCCCAGGGAGTGTATCCTATTCACTAAAAGGTGACTCAGGAGGCCTCCTACTCACTCCTAGGGCTGTGCCATTTCTGCTTTGGACTCTTCAGCTTATTCTTTTCCATATCCATAGTAGTAATTAATTTCCATCATTTGCTGTCAGATTTGATTAGGTGGTTCTAAAGCTAGATGATACCATCCTCGGTGGAGAAAAGCCATAACTCTAAAACAAGCAGGCCTGTGAACTTGTGTGTCTCACCTACTGACTATGGATGGATTCTGGTTCCAGGATGATTTAATGGATGACTTGGTGGCTGGACTAAATGCAACTTATATTGGTAGGAAAGATTCATCTGAATGAATAAATTATGGTGGGTAGGTTTGAAAGTCACTCTCCTAGGCACCTTTGTTACATATGGTAGTACAGGTAAAGTTTTCTGAGACATCTAGGGCACAGAAATTTAGCTGCTTGACATAGACATAGTAGTTAGTGCACCCAAGAGCAGCAGTCTGGGGGTGGGGTTGGGACTAGGAAAGGCCATTTACCTCTGGTAAGGCAGGAAGGCTGAATCTTCCTTTACCAGACCTCCTGCGAAGGAGCTACAGGCTGGTTGTAGATTTGCCTGCTGACCTTCTTTACAGAAAAGCAGCTATATGGTATCATGGTATCATAACATAGGGACAATGGCTCTAGGTATTAATGAATGTGAGGTTCCTTGCTGTCTGGCTCATTTTGTAGATTTCTTGCTCCAGACCTGGGATCAACCACTCCTCCAGGTAGCCCTGGTTCTTTTACTGGGAAATGACATTTAAAGAACACAAACTGGACCCCAAAGACCCTTTTAACTTTTTTAAATTCACTTTTACATTTAACAGAATTGGATGCTTCATCTCACTTTTTTTCTTTTTTTTACTTTTTTTATACTGACATAATTTAACTCCAGTACTTTAGTAATTGTAAAGGAAAAAAATTTAAAGGTAAACTACTCCCACGGGGTCTACTACCTTAACACATTACCTGTTTGTGTTTGTCTAAGTTCTCTTCTGGTTGTTCCCTATACAGGAGCCCCTTGAGGGCCAAGGTTGTACATCATTCTTCTGTAAATTTCCCCCAGCACAAAGGAGAGCACCTGCCTATGGTCAGTGATCCATTAGTGTTTATTGAATAAATATATCCATATTTAATTGTATTATAGATCATTTTGTAATATGCATTCTACCCACTAAAAAATAAAATATTTTCCATGTTTTCATAATTATTAGTCACTTTATAATAGCACATTGAATTTATATCTATTAATTTACTTATTTTCCTTATTGT